CGTCAGCTAGCTCACAGCAACCTCAAACTCCTGGACTCAAGCGATCCTCCTGCCTCAGCCTCCTGAGTAGCTGGGACTACAGGCATGAGCCACCATGCCCAGCTAATTTTTTCTATATATATTTTTTTAGTTGTCCAGATCATTTCTTTCTATTTTTTAGTAGAGACGGGGTCTCGCTCTTGCTCAGGCTGATCTCGAATTCCTGACCTTGAGCGATCCACCTGCCTCAGCCTCCCAGAGTGCTAGGATTACAGGCGTGAGCCACTGCGCCTTGCCCTGGATGTCTTTTATTTCTTTTTCTTGCCTAATTGCTTTGGCTAGAACCTCTAGTAAAATGTTGCATAGAAGTCATGAGAGTGGACGTCCTTATCTTGTTCATGATCTTAGGGGCAAAGCTTTCATTTTTTCACCATTAAGTAACATGTTGACTGTTGTATTTTCATAGATCCCTTTATCATATTGACCTGGCCTTCATTTTTTAAATAATATTTTTGCTAAATATAAAATTCTAAGTTGGGTTTTAAAATTTTCAGCTTTTAGAGAAGTTGTTCCCTTGTCTTCTCTCTTCCACATTTCTATTGAAAAGTTAGCTGTCAGTCTTATTATTTCTTTGAAAGTGAAACATATTTTTTCTCTGCATACTTTAAGCATATCTGTCTTAAATTTTTCAAAATAGATTATCTGTGATGTGCCTAGATATGAGTTTCTTTCTATTTATCCTTTTTGTGGTTTGTAGAGCCTTTTGAATTTGTAGCTTAAAGCCTTTTGTTAGTTTGGAAAAATTCTTAACCAGTATCTCTACTATTGCTTCTGGCTTGTTCTCCCTCTTTTCTTTCTTAACTTCAAATATATGTATATCTTTTTACAATGTCTCATATGTCTCTTTTGCTCTTTTCTGTATTTTTCAACTTTTTTTCTGTTTAGCTTCATTATGGGTATTTTCTATTGACCAATCTTCCACTTTACTAATCCTCTCTTCTAATGTTGAGAATCTGTTGCTAAATCCATCTCTTCAGTTCTTGTAAATTTTAGTTATTGTATTTTTCAGTTCTAGGATCTCTACTTTTTAAATAGATTCCATATTTCTAGTAGAATTCTTTTTTTTTTTTTTTGAGACAGGGTCTTACTCCATTGCCCTGAGTACAGTGTCATGGCATCAGCCTAGCTCACGGCAACCTCAAACTCCTGGGCTCAAGCGATCCTCCTGCCTCAGCCTCCCAAGTAGCTGATACTACAGGCATGTGCCACCATGCCCAGCTAATTTTTCCATTTTTAGCAGAGACAGGGTATCGCTCTTGCTCAGGCTGATCTCAAACTCCTGAGCTCAAACGATCTGCCCACCTCGGCCTCCCAGAGTGCTAGGATTACAGGTGTGAGCCACTGTGCTGGGCCTTCTAGTAGAATTCTCGAACATACTAAATCATAGTTATTTTAAATCATGTCTGAATGCCATTTCCCCTAATCACCTGCCTGTTTCTATTGTCTTTTTTAAAAATCTTGGTTGTTGATCATTTGATGCTGTTTCCTGTTTGCCTTGTAATTTTAATTGTGTGCTGGACATTGTGTATGAAGCTACGATGGAGTAGCTCTTATTAGACTAATCCTCCCCTCTGTGGCAGTGCTGGGATTTGAACTGAGGCAGGCCACTCCACGGTCTGTGTTTTAACCAGACTGCCTCGCTATTTTATACTAGATATCTGTTAATGGTAGCGATATAATATTTTCTTTTGACACATGGAGTAAAAAAATGCGGGCAAGGTAGAGACAAATAGCAAGTACATAATAGCACCAGCGGAAACTTTGAAGGCAATAAGGGAGTGGCAAGAGTTCTGGAACATTCCAATGTGACTTTGGGGATGGAGCAGGTGAGCCGTGAGAGCTTGAGCTTAGAGGATGGGCACAGGGAAGGCATTCAAGGAGAGGACTCAGCTTGTGCAGAGCAGAGGCACATGGCAGGGCCTGGGGTGCCAGGGAGGTGCTGAGTAATTTGGGGCAGCTGGATGGTAATATTAGGAAGCCAGCCCCCAGCACAGCACTTCACAGCTCACAAAGCACCACTGCTTCTGCTTTCTCAAGGACTCTTCTTAACTGCCAGGTGCAGTGGGCATTATTGTCCCCATTTTTGAGATGGTAACCGAGGTCAGAAAGTGGAAGAGCCAGAGAAGAGCTGCAGCTTGCTCCAAGATCCTCTGGCTTTAAATTCTACTCCATTGTGTCGAATATATTTGGCAGCAAGCAACAGAAATATAATTCAATGTGTCTGAGCAACACAGGTGTTCACTGGCTCCTAGAAACAAAAAGTCCAGGGGTGGACATCAGATATGGCTGGATCCAGGTCTTCACATGATGCCATGGGGACTCTGGATCTGTATTCTCAATATTGATATCATTTTCAGGCAGGGTCTCTCTGAGAGGCATCAGAGATGGCTACAAGCTTCTAGCAGGTACCAAAGAAATGCACCTCTTTGCTAGAGTTCTAGAAAAAAACCCAGGACCGCTCTCATTGGCCTTGACTGGGTCGATGTCCACCCCTGATCCAATCACTGTGGCCAGAAAGAGGGGGTGCTTTGGCCGGGCCTGGGTCAGGTGCCCACTTGTGGAGCAGGGAGTGGAGTCGGCTCTGCTGAAAGCTCTAGAGAATGCTCCAGATTGAGAGCTCCTCTAAAGATGGTGGCGGGGGGAGATGCCAGACAGACAGAAGCAGCAGGTCCTTCCTCTACATCCTCAGGGCCCTGCAATTTATGCAGAGCTAAGGAATTTGGAGGGACAAGGAGCTTTGCATCTGGCAAAGGAGTTTGCACTTTCTCCTGGTTGAGATGGAGCCACTGGGGAGTGGTGTGGACAGAGCTGTCTATGCCAGGCCTTGTGCCGGGGCTGGGGTCACAGATGTGAACACGACAGTGAGGCACAGACACAGACTCCCCCTCCTGTGATTGGAGGTCACACCTTCAAAGCGTAGTAGCAGAGCCCCTGCAAGGCTTCCGACCATGCAAGATCAGCATTCCTTAAAGCAGGCTTAAACGGCATCTATCCGCCCAACATCATTTTACTTTACTAGTGATGTTATTCATTTCAAAGTGTGTTATAAAAAATACACAACCGTGGATGTTACTGGAGTTAAGTTTTTAAGTGAGTTCATTCATAGAAAACATACTAAGTAAAGAACAGTGCACACAGAGTACAAATATAGCCAAAATTTTGAAATGGTGAGAAATTGTGCAACCTTGTAGCTAGATCATTCTGGGACCCCCTCCATCTCTGGTGCTCTAAATTCTCTGTCCATCGCCGCTGTTTATCGAGTGTTTATATGTCAGGGGCCACGTCCAGGGTTTTCTGCAGTTCGCCTTGAATTCTCATAGGAACCTTGGACGCAGGCTTTGCTGTCTGCACTTTATAAGGCTCAGAGAGGCAAGGGATTTGTCTGGAACCACACAGCTGTCAATCTGAACCTCTCTGGTCCCACAGCCTGTGTCCTTCGCCACTGCTTCCTTGGTGACTTTGTTAGGGAGGTCAGAGGGCACTACAGATGGGGCCAGAGTAGGATCTGGGGGGACTCCAGTAGCGGGGATGGAAGAGCTTTCCATTGTGGGGTCAGGGATGGAGTCTGGGAAGAGCCGTCCGTGTGACTTGGTCCTGCGTGGGACATCCCTCTGGGCTCCAGTGCCAGCTACACCCCCCTGTGTGGGGGGGCCGTCTGGGTGGAGCCTGGGCTGGTGGGCCTGCCGGCCTCTGGCTGGCACCTCCCCAGACACAGAGCTGGAGGGTGCAGCAGGCAAGGTGCCAGCCTGGCGGATCATTTCTCTGCACAAGGATCAAAGGCCCCTCTTCCTGGATAAGCTCACCCTGTTCCCCAAAGAGGCTCCATCTCAGCCAGAATCACGAGTCCAGGCTGCCTCTGTTTAGTGGGCCTGGACTCCCCAGTGTTCCCAGTGGGCCGACCTGGCTTTGTGATGGAGTAAGAAGCCTCGTTCTTGGGCCAACCTTATCTTGAGTATTCAGCAGGGGTCTCCCGTGTGGGCTAGCTTTGGGTGTGCTCTTCCCTAAGAAGCCCACGGCTGTTTCAGGGAAGGAGGCCTCAAGGTTGCTGCTCTGCAGATGCTGCTGTCCAAGCCACGCTTGTCTTCTTCCCTCCCTCTCTCCCTGCCTCCCTCCCTTCCCGTCTCTTCCTTGGGTGGATAAATGCACAAGTTTAATTTCACACACGCTGCTGAGTCAGCGGGCCTAGCAAAGGCAGAAGAGCAGCAACCTCCCCCTCTCCCACCTCCATCTGGGACTGTGTCAGGAGCCGGGAGGAAGTGGGAGAAACGGGGAAGGACCCGCAGGAGAATCACCCACGTGTAAGGGGCAGGAACCCTTGGGGGCATCCATGGGACCCTCAAACTTTTGTTCTTTTGAGACAGATCGAAGAATCAGAGGCAAGTCTGCCCAGCAAGGGACGGGGACAAGCAGGAGCCCCCAGGCCTGGGCCACCGTCCCGAAGGCCTCCAGCAGGCTCCTGGAGTCAGCATGCCCGTGGCCTGTGGCTGGACCGCCCTTCTGCTCCTGCTGGCGCTGCAGGGCGGTAAGTAGCTGCCCCACGGTCTGCAGTGGGGGAGGGGGCCTCCTCTTCGCCCCGCAAAGTGGAGCTGGGGCCGAGCTGGCCTTGTGGGCTCCAGGACACGGCTAGAGTCCACGAACCCAGAATCTATGGCCTCTGTCTACTGGAAGCCGATCAAAGTCACACGTAGCTCTCCCTCCCTTAGCCAGAACCCATCCAACCAGAGCTCCGTGAGCCAGGCGTGGCACGTGCGGGTCTGCGGTGAGACTGGGCGGGTGCGGGACTTCGTCCTTCGTTTCTGTTGCTTTCTGCCTTGGCTGGCTCCCAGCCCTCAGAGGGAGGAAGGAAGTCCTGCCTTTGGTCTAACCTCAGTTTCTCCTTATGTAACGACTTTCCTTGGAGATGGTTTTCAATAGTCACTGGATCCTTAGCAGGCACTGATGTTTCCTGGGTTTGGGGAAGGGGAGAGAGAGACAAAAGGCGCCAAAGGCATGGGAGGCAGTCCCTGGAGGACCAGGAGATGCTGCAGTCACAGGGAGAGACGTTGGAGCCCAGAGCTGGGAAGGCCAGGAGTCCGACTGCAGGGTGCTGCCCAGGGCTAAGAGATCCAGGAGGCCTTCCAGGAGGAGGGGGCCACAAGGAGGCAGGATGCAGCCAGGGCTTGCACAGAGGCTGGCCCAGGGGCAGGGGCAGGGTGAGAACTCAGCTGCTCACTCTGCTGACTCATAGGCATTTTTTCTGGTTTTTACCAAAAGACCCAGCGCCTCAAATAGCTCCTTCAGGAAACACATGTCAGGAGTTTATTTTCCCCTTTTGAGTGGCAAGCATCAGCCGCCATGGCTCAACACCTCCTTGCAGGGAGCATATAGCAAGCCCCTGCTGTATACTGGGCCCTGAGCATCATCTCATTCCATTCTCCCAACGGCCCTGCAAGGTCCAGGTTGCAATGAAGCCCAGCCTTTAGGGGAAACTGAGGCTCAAAGCGGATAAGGAGCAGGTCCACAGGCATGCAGCCGGGCGGTGGCGGAGCTGGGACTGGTTCCTGACTCTCACAGCCTGTTTTAGTCCATTTGTGCTGCTATAGCAAAACACCTGCGACTGGGCAATTTATAAATAATAGAAATGTATTTCGCACAGTTCTGGGGGCTGGGAAGTCCAAAATCAAGGTACCAGCAGATTCGGTGTCTGGTGAGGGCCACGTTTCTGCTTCCAAGATGGCACCTTGAACGCTGTGTCGTCACCTGCAGAAGGGACACAGGGGCGAAAAGGGGCCAAACGCTGGTTCCCTCCAGCCCTTTTACAAGGCCACTAATCCATTTACACAGGCTCTGCCCTCATGCCTTAGTCACCTCCTACAGGCCCCGCCGCTGAATGTTATCACGCTGGCAATTAAGTTTCGACATGTGGATTCGGGGGACACACACATTCAAACCACAGCATGGTCCTAGCCACCACGCTCTGCTGCTACTTAGCGGGTGACCGCTGCGTGCAGGCCGTGTGGGCGGCACGGGTGTCACCCCATCCCAACTGCTCAGCAGCCTCTGGGGGGCGCCAGCATCTCCAGCTTACAAATAGGGAGGGGAGGCAGTTTTGAGTCACGTGTCTGTGGTCACAGGGCTGGGAACCGGCACTGCCACTTTGAGTGTCCCTCATGGCTTTCCGCGTGCTTTAATAGCTCCCAGCGTGGGGTGGCCGGGGCACCGACCGGCTTCATCACTCCCTCTGGTCCCTGAAGCCATTTCAGGGGCAGCTGTTCCCTCCCCAATGTCTCATCCCAAGTTTGGGGACAAACGTTTGAGCCTCCACGGTCCCGGAGCCCTGAGGGAGAACAACCAGGGGCAAACTCAGAGAAGACACAGCTGTCTGGAGGCTTCTGCAGCCCTGGGTTTAGATTGTGCCAAAATCAGTCCTCTTTCTCCACAGAGTGCTCGGACCAGCCCCGCTGTGTCCTGCCGACAGGTCCCGTGTGCCTCCCTGAGGAAAGCCCCCTCCTAGAGCAAAATTCTTTTCCACGACTCAGACCCCTTGGTAGCGGCTGCCTGGAGGACCGCGTTGAGAAGGGTCCTGAGGCTGCCCCTAGGGGAGAGAGCGCTGTGATCGATTAGCAATGTCTGCCACGTGTGCGGATAACTAGCACTGACCAGGTTCTGCCTTCCCTGGCTGCGAGTCTCAGTGACCCAGACCGAGGCAGATGAGAGGTGTGGTCTTGTCTTGGAGCCTCAGTGTTCTCATCTCTACAATGGGGTGGGAGTGGATTAAAGCACATTTCCAGCAACAATGTCCTTGGCTCCCAATCCAGGTTCTGACTATAGTGAGACCTGGGAGGGAACGTGCCACCACCTCACGGGTCTTCATCAGACAAGGAAAAACAGGAAAAGCCACGGAAAATGAATCCGCTTCAAAAGAGGAACAAGTTTTTTCATAAATAGTGGGGGAAAAATAGTGGCATTGGTAGTTGATTTGACAAAACAAAACTACAAATTGTGAAGTTTATTTTGTCAAACATTGAAGAAAATTGAGATTATGATTGTGCCTATATTTTAGAGCACAGTGAAACCATGGATGTTTGTGGAGTGGGAAGGTATTAAATCTTCCAACAAAATTGCCTGACAGGGCAATACATTGTCACTTCTTGGTGGCGGTGGTGGTGGTGTCATTTTGGCCGTAGGATAACACAGACATTTTTGCAAAAGTATTCCAGGGCTTCTCAGTTTTCTCACGTTTTCCTACCCCGTGAAGCCTTCCTGCGTCTCTGAGGGTCCATGTCCTGTGGGACCAACGGCCGCAGGGCTGAGGACTCTGAGGTTTTTTCAGCACCGCTGACCCCGTGAGGTCTTGACCTCTCGGGGTGCGCGGGTTTGTGCTGGCTCGGTTGATCCCGTATCTGGGACATCCAGGACGTGCCATTCTGAGTGGGAGCCTGGCCAGGAGAGACACCAGCCTGGTGGCTGGATGTGGGGCTCAGAGTTGGGGTGCTGAGGTGGGGACCAGGTCAGTTTACTATAGCTCACATTAGGGGTGTCTTGTCTGCACAGCCATCCTGGAAGCTTTGGGGCCCAAATAAGGAGTTCCCAGGTGGTGAGGACCCCCGTGCCCCAGGCCTACATCTTAGTGGCCCCCGAGTCCCCGTGTTCATCCCCGTGTTCAGCCCCCATCCCCCTTGTCCCCCATTCACCATCCAGCCCTTGAGGGGGCGAGGGGTGGGCCCTGCAGTCCCCGGCCAGCCCCCCACCAAGGCCTCTCTCCCTTGACCCTCCAGGCTGGGGCTGCCCACGCCTCGTCTGCTACACCGATTACCTCCAGACGGTCACCTGCATCCTGGAGATGTGGACGCTCCACCCCAGCACCCTCACGCTTGCCTGGTAAGTGGCCGGGCCTTGCCAGCCCTGGGGACATGACTCAGGCTGCCCGGAGGGCTGGGGTGGGGCAGGACTGCAAGAGACCGCAGGCTGAGTTGAGCCTACTGTGTACCTGGCCAGTAGTTTAGTGATAACAAGAGTAGCTGCCCCTTCCTGCCTCAGCCATTCCACCCCCAGGAAGACGCTGTGAGCTGGGGACCACTGTGCCCGCCCTACAGATGACCACTTGGGGCTCACAGGACTTGCCTGAGCACACAGTCAGGCGGCCACAGGGCTGCTCTGTCCAGCTTCAAAAGGTCACTCTCTCGTCCACACAGGCCTGACCGTGGTTTTAAGACCCCCGGGTGGCCCATGCCCGGCGTGATGTTTGAAGCACTTAGCAGATGCCAGGCCTCCTGCTAGGGGAGGTCACCTGAATGATCACTTCCAACTCTCACAGTCACTACTCCCATTTTACAGATGAGGACAGAGGTTCAGAGAGGTTAAGCAACTTGGCCAAGGTCACACAGCCAGTGAATGGTGGAGCTGGGATTCGAACTCAGGCGGCCCGACTCCAAAATCCACGGGTCCTTATTAGTCCACACATAGCTCAGGACAAGGAAGTGCTGCCTTTCATTCTGTTATCCATCACCTCACTCATTCATTCAAAACACATTTAAGTTCTGGCCAGATGCTGTTGCAGGCGCTGGGGATTCAGCAGGGCTCGAGACTGACAAGGGCCCGGATGTCTTGGGGCTGATGTACCACAGTGGGACAGTGGCTGGGGGAGACAGGCGGCAAACACAAAATGACATGTGGGACACTTTCTGATAATGAGCGCTGTAAAGCATAGGACACTGGACTTCAAGCAGACAGCAAGTGGCATGGCCAAGGGTCTAGTTCAGCCCAGGTGGACAGGGCAGGCTTTCTGGATGAGCAGGAGAGGGTGTTCCAGGCAGAGGGCACCGCACGTGCAAAGGCCCTGAGGGGGACAAGCTGGTGAGTGTGCAGGACAGAGAGGAGGGCAGTGTGGCTGGAGCGGAGCCAGCCAGGGTGAGGGAGAATGATGAGGAGAGAAGCCCAGGGGTAGGCAGGGGCCAGATTTCATTGTGCAGGAGGAGAGAAGCTGCTGGAAGCTTTTAGGCAGGGGATGACAGGGACTTTTTAAAGATCCCCCTGGCTGGGAACAGATTTCAGGGAAGGCAGGGACACCTCCAGGCAGACATTGCAGTGGTCCAGACTGGAGAATTGGAGAGTGTTTATTCAGCAGAAGTTACTTCCGAAGTTCCTGCTGCAGCAAATTTAGCAGAGAACTTAGTCCGCACATCTCTATTGGCCCTGGAGGCTGGTCATGTTTGGAACCTGAACATGTAGGTAGGGAAATAAATGTCTGGTGAACTCCTACACATACTTCAACACCTGTCATTTTTGTCCAGTGGGAGTTAAACAGCCAGAGCATTTCCCCTATCCCCCAACCTCTCCCACCCCCAGCTTCCCTGGAAGTTCACGCAGAGCAGGGGATGAGCTTCATTTCGCTCTCATCTCAGCCCTCGGCACAGGCTCCAACCAGGCACTCCATGGATATTGGCCACAACCAGGCATTCCATGGATATTGGCCACAGTGCTCAGCCCCCTCCTGTAGGACAGCGATCCGGCGGTTGGAATTGACAGGAACAGATGTAGGCTTGGTCCAGGCAAGAATGGCCCAAATTTCCAAAGTTCAGAGCTGCTGCCCTAAATGAGGTAGTGAGTTCCTGGTCCCTTGGAGGTATGCAAGCAGAGCCTAGACACAATCCATCAGGGATGGTGCAGGGGAGGGGACACCTTCCCCAGGAAAGGGTTGGTTGGACCAGGTGACCCCCAGCCCCACCTCAAATCCCTCCCAGCCCTAAGATCCTGGGCTTCTGCCCTGGCTAAGCACTTGCGCCCCTGGCCTCCAGCCATGACCAGCTGCTCTGTCCTTAAAGGCAAGACCAGTACGGAGAACTGGAGGATGAGGTCACCTCCTGCAGCCTCCACAGGTCCACCCACAACACCACGCATGCTAAGTACACGTGCCACATGGATGTGTTCCGCCTCATGGCCGACGACATTTTCAGCGTCAACATGACAGACCAGTCTGGCAACCACTCCCAGGAGTGCGGCAACTTCATCCTGGCTGAGAGCAGTGAGTACCCTTTGGGCCCCAGGCTGAGGGAAACCCAGGTGGGGGCTGGGCCCCTGCCCTCTGGGCGTTCCCTGCCCTGTTCTGTAGCTCAGTATTCTGCTTTTTAGATGTACTACTTTTTACTAAGGCGTGATGGGTTGCTATTAGGTTTGGGCCTTTACCACAAGAGAGGCAGCAGAGGTATGGGAAACAGTTGGCCTGGGACCAAGGACTGCCGGGCTTCTGTTCCAGCTCAGCCCCTGCCTGTCTGTGTGACCTTGGGCAAGGCACACCTACGTCTTGGACTGTTTCCCCATTTGTACAGTGGACGCCCTTTCAACCCTGATGCTCTGGGATTCTGTCCCCGTGAGGAGGCAAGCAGAGGACACTGAGTCACAAGAAAAAACCTCCGGAGTTTCCTCCCTTCACTAGCTCCAGGGAGCAGACTGGAGAGGGGGGATTGGGGGCAGGGGACCTGGCTGGCGGAAGCAGCTGTATCTGCGGGTCTAGGATCACAGCAGGGCAGAGGAGGAGGCTTGCAGCTGCCACTCCCCCCTGCAGGGTGGCCCCAAGTAGCATTTCCCTCCCTTCCTGCCAGGGTCTGAGACCAGCTGGGCCAGCTGGGGCAGGAAGTGATTTTCTGACCGCCACCCCCACCCCACCCGGTCCCTGTCCTCCTGCTGGGCCCTGGGCCTCTCTGGGCTGAGCAGCCTCCTCCTCCGCCCCAGGTTACGCAAACATCTCCCCCTGTCCCCAGGGAGGCTCTTGGTCACCCAGTGTCTCCCTGCATGGGTCCTCACCAACGAGCCCAGGCCTCCTCCCCCTGCCCTGGGGAAGAGCGAAACGGGGTTAGGGACTATTTGGGTCATAAAGGTCCCATCTCTGAAATAGCAGCGGCAGCCATCCAGCATTCCAGAATCCCATTTCTGGCATTCCAGAAAACGCGCCCCTTCTCGCACCCGGGCCACGAGGACGGCCGGCAGTGCAACTTTCACAGCCGGAAGCAGCTTCGGAGCTCCGTGTTGGAAGCCCCGAAAGGGTCATTTGTTAATTTGACAAATATTCACTGAGGACGCACCAGGCTCTGTTCCAGGAGCCGTGGGCACAGACGGGGCCAGGACCACAAACCCTCTGCCCCGAGACGCCGGGGCCCAGAGCAGGGCCGGGTGGTAAACAGATGGCAGAGGGAAGAAAGGGTGCAGGACGCGGCACGGTGGCAAATAGCGGACGAGGTGGGTTCAGGGGGCAGAGGCCGCCATCCTTCTTACGCTGCCAGGACACTTGTCGCGTGGCCCCCCTGAAGTTGCCGCCGTCTGCTATTCAGCTGGGTCCCCGAGCACGTGAAGCCCCGTGACACAGGACCTGGCACCATTTCACAGCGAGGAGATTAAGGCGCAAGACGTCCTGCTCAAGTTCATAAGACAAAATTGGGCTAAAGCAAGGCTAGAGTGCTGGCTTTGACCTTGGCCTCGGGGGCGCCCTGGAGGCCTGGGGTTGTGGCCCAGAGCTCGGCCCCTGCACTTGCTAGAAGGCGTCCAAAAGATGAGGACAGTTAAACCCAACTCCCGGGCCACGGCAGGTGTCACCCTGCCCCGTGCAGGGCAGCTGGGCGGGCGTTAAGGAACTGGCAGCCTTGGTCGTTAGCATCTGTGTTGGGTGGAGCCTCAGCGGGGGGCCTGCGCCTGGCCAGCCGCTCCTAGCCTGGGGGCACCCCGTTTTCCCACGGTCCCCCAGCCTGCTTCACCCGTTCCTGTCGTGCCCGCCTCTGAGTCTGCACCCCTGAGATAATCTAAACCTCTCATCTCTCGTTGAACAAATGGCGGCCCAGAGGCAGGGAGTGCTTTGCCCAAAGTCCCTCGGGGTTGCCAACCCGATCTCATAAACGATGGGTCAGGCTTGGCGTGGGGGGGGCACATCTTCCCGTCACCAAATCCCCCTCACCTGCAGCAACATCTCGTCCTGTTTTATCTTTCCGGGTTTTTCCACCTAGTCAAGCCGGCTCCCCCTTTCAACGTGACCGTGACCTTCTCGGAACATTATAACGTCTCCTGGCGCTCGGATTACGAAGACCCCGCTTTCTACGCGCTGAAGGGCAAGCTGCAGTACGAGCTGCAGTACAGGAACCGGGGCGACCCCTGGGCTCTGGTGAGGAAGGCAGAGGCTCCCAGCTCTGGGCCTGGGGAGTGCGAGGGCGTCCAGGTGGGAGGGGGGGAGGCCAAGGGACAGGTGAGCCTCGTCATTCATGGCCGAGGCCAGAAACCTGGGATGGGCCAAGGACGTGAGCGCTCCCTGCGGCACCTCTCCTGCCCCCTCCCCACTTCTCCCTGGGGTAGGAGACCCCTTATCCATCTCTCCCATTGTCCTTGTCTCCCGCTTTGTCAGCATGCTGGGAGGGAAGGGACCATCCCGAGTCTAGAACAGTCACAGCGGAGGAAGTTTCAGAAATGAAGCAGTTGGGAACCTTCCCACTTGTTCAGTCTGGCCATGGTTGGAGAGTTCCAGAAATATGAATAATTAAGAAGGCCCAGTGCGAGAGGGGCCATTGTTTCAGATGTGGAGACTTGGAGAGGTGTCTTTCCAGCCCACTATTTAGAAGTCATGGCTGAAGAGTTCTAGAATTATCTGTCCTTTAGAATGCTCCCAGTTGAAGATTTCCTAACTGCCATAGTTTAGAATGTCCCAGTGGAAGACTTCCAGAGGTACTCATTGCCAAGACGTCTGTAGTTGAAGACTCCCAGAAATGCCCACTATTGGGAATGTCAACATGTTACCTGAGATTCCAGTAGTGTCCTTTGTCCGAATGCTTCCAGACCGCTGCCTCTCCTGGGACATCCCAGTCCCAGCAGGAGGGTCTGGAGTGGGTGAGCTGGGATGGAAGAGAAAGAGAACGAGGGGTGGTGTTGCAGGCAAGCCCCAGGCAGTACTGAGTCGGCGCTGCCCACGCTTGAGTGGCCAGGGCTCAGGCGTGGCCCGATTCTGGTGGGAGAGGAAGAGACAGCCCCTTTGACGGGGGCTGGAAACGGGGCGGTTCTGCCGGAGGCAGGGCCCGGACTGGTTGAACGCGACCCCAGGCACCTTTCCCCTGTGCTGGCAGAGTCCGAGGAGAAAGCTGATCTCGGTGGACTCGAGAAGTGTCTCCCTCCTTCCCTTGGAGTTCCGCAAAGCCTCGAGCTATGAGCTGCAGGTGCGGGCAGGGCCCCGGCCTGGCTCCTCTTTCCAGGGGACCTGGAGCGAGTGGAGTGACCCAGTCATCTTTCAGACCCAGCCAGAGGGTAGGTGTGAAGCTGGTGTGGACACCTCACTCCTGGTACCGAATCTCGTCTCGGTCCAGCCACCCCAAGCCCTGCACTTTCTGGCACGCTGGGAGGTGTCCATTCTGTTGCCCATCCCCAGCTGTAGCCATTCGACATTTCCGGAGCCCCTGCTGGCCAGTCCCTGCATTGGGTGCTGGCTGCTGCTTCTGTCAGGCATTTGATCCTCCTAATTCTGAAGCGGGAATCATTACGCCCATTTTGCAGATGAGGAAACCGAGGCTCAGTGAGATGACGTTACTTGCCTGGGGTGGGGGGTGAGAGCAGGATTTGCACCCAGATCCATTGCACTTCAAGGCTCTAGCAGCTCCCCACCCCTTCTGCTCCACCCCAGACCCATTTCCCGCCACACGGCGCCATGTGGCCTCTGGTAGAGTTGGTGCCATTTAACCCTTTATTTGCTTCTTGCTCAGAGTCAAAGGAGGCCTGGGACCCTCACCTGCTGCTCCTGCTCCTTCTGCTTATCATAGTCTGCAGCCTTGTCGGCTGGAGCCTGAAGTCCCGCCCATCCTGGAGGTGAGGCCAGGACACTGGGGAGGCAGGGAGGTGGTTGGCCTGGGCCACAGCCCCTCTACAACCCACCCTGGGTCAGGGGACATACCTGTCGTCATGACAGCAAAGACAATGATGGTGATATAACCAGCTCGCTGAAGTTACCATGCGCCTGTGTGTGTGACACATTGCAGTTATCCCTATTTTACAAGTGGGGAGACTGAGGCACAGAGCAGCTGAGGAACTTGCCCAAAGTCACACAGCTCTGGAGTGGAGGAGGCGGGATTGAAACCCTGTCCTCTTAAACAGGGCTCTTCGCTGTGATTTTGTCCAGTGAATTTGAAGCTATGAGGCCCGAGGGGCACCGGGGGCCAGTGGGTGGGTGGAGGGGCTGGTGTGACAGCCACACACTGTCCCTGGCTGTCCACGAGGACGCAGAGGCTCAGAAGGGCGGTGGCACTGGCCCAGCACGCAGTGGGCAGCCCAGCCCACCACCTCGACGGGTCTTCAGGAACCTGCGAGGGAGACTCGCTGCTCCCACTTTACAGATGTGGAAACTGAGCCCCGGGAGGGAAGGGAGGTGCCGAGCTGGGGAGGCCGAGTGGACAAGCGCTTCCCTCTGTGTGCTGTTGGGCCTCACCTGTCTCTGCACCCCCAGGTTGTGGGAGAAGGTGTGGCCGGTGCCCAGCCCAGAGCAGTTCTTCCAGGCCCTGTACGACGGCCACAGAGGGGACTTCAAGGTGAGTGTGACAAGCCCCTCTGAGTTCCTTCTCTTGGGAGCCCTGCTCCACCCTCATCCCAGGGCCCCAGCTCGCCCTGCAGGCCCAGAGCACCAGGTCCCAGCCAGGCCTCAAGTCGAGCCTCAGTTTCCCCATCTGTAAAGTGCAGTCACTCCCGTGGTGTAGAATTGGCGTAAGAGTTAACCAAGATCAGGCAGCGTCGCCCAGCCCAAGGAGCCAAACTAGGCATGAGCCTGGTGGCTCCTTGAGTCACACATTGGCCCCCAGCTCCTTTCTTAGGTGCCCTTGATCCGGGGTGGAGAGGGAGCGGGTTCTGGGAAGGGTCTGGCCCCGCCTGCACACACGCCAACTCCGCCAAGCCTCCACCCCCTGGTCAGGGCTCCTCAGCCCCCCTGCAGCAGAGGGAGGGGCCGCCGCCCAGCAGATGTGGTGGGGGGGAGGGGCGGCCCCACCTGCTCCAGCCCAGCCTGGAAGTCAGGCGGCGCCACCCGGAGCGTGCACTGGCACTGCTGTCTGCCTGGCGCTGCCCTGGGTGCCCTCTCTCCTCTCGCCCTCTCAGCGGTCCCTGCAGGGTGGTTACTCCGCCATCCCCAGGGTACCCATGAGGAGGCCCAGGCTTGGAGAGCGGCAGCCACTTAAGCGGGGCAGGGGAGGAGCCTGGGCTCCAACCCACATGCGACTCGCCCTTTCCTCTTCCCTAAAACTCCAATATCACATGTATTTTGTGATTTTACCAGTACATCTATGACGCTTGCCATGTGCCAGGCGCTGTGCCAGGAGCTTCAAAATCGTTAACGCATTTAACCCCCACAACAGCCCTATGGGTGGGTACTGCTGTTAGGTCTATTTTACAGATGAGGAAACTGAGGCCCAGAGAAGGTAAGTCACTGGCTCAAGGGCACACAGCTTAGAAGTGACTTCAAATCAGTGAGTTTACATCATGGTTCTGAGATGAGTTTTCTGAGGAAGATCAGATCTAAACTGGGAGATTTCCATCCTCGGGGATTTTCTCTGCCGATGGGGTGGAGATTCCTGTGTCAGGAGTGGGACTCCTGGCAAGGGAGGGGAGGAGGGTCCTCAAAGTTTAAGGGCCACCGCCTTGGCCAGCGTCACCCACAGCCTTTACCTACAAAGCGCGCAAAACCCTCTCCAAGTGGCTTTTCCTCAATTCGCTCCGCTCATTCATTTAGTGAATAAACATTTATTGAGCACCTACTGTGTGCCGGGCACTGAGGACACAGCTGTGGACTGAAGAGATGGGGCTTCTGCCCTGGCTGAGTGTCAGTCTGGTGGGGACACATAAACAGGGGAATGCTGGGTTTCCAGAAATTTCAAGGAGGCAGTAAGGCAAGGGATGGGGTAGGGGCTCTGCCACTCAGACCTCAGGCCCTCCTGCCCCCATGTCCCCTAGACTGGGGAATCTTGCCCCCTGCCCAGGCCATGGGACCACCGCTTGTCTGAGTGGGCAGGCTACGGAGGCAGCAGCAACTCCTTGCTACAGGTGGGGAAACTGAGGCTGGGAGTGGGGAGAGGACAGTGGCAGGGACCCCCACTGGACAGGGGCACATCATGGCTCTTGTTCCTCTCTCCCTTTCTCTGTCTTGCTGTGTCTTTGTCTCCGTCTCTCTGTCCCTGGCTCTTGCTGTCCCTTTGCCTTGTCTCTGTGTCTGTCTCTTTCTACCCTCAGCCCGCCTGTCCCCTGACTCTCTCTTTTGCTCTCTCACAGAAATGGGTGGGTGCACCTTTCACTGCCTCCAGCCTGGAGCTGGCACCCTGGAGCCCGGGGGCACCCTCGCCCCTGGAGGTGTACAACTGCCGCCCGCCACCCAGCCCGGCCAAGGGGCCGGGGCCCACCGAGCTGCCAGAGCTGGCCGACCTGCTGGAATCCGACGGCGTGCCTGAGCCCAGCCGCTGGGGCCCCGCGCCCTCCGCAGCCCACAGCCCCGGTGGCTCAGCCTGCAGCGAGGAGAGGGACCGGCCGTATGGCCTGGTGTCCGTGTCCATTGACACAGTGACCGTGGCGGACGCAGAGGGGCCCGGCTCCTGGCCCTGCAGCTGTGGGGACGACGGCTACCCAGCCCTGGACCTGGATGCCGGCCTGGAGCCTGGCCCAGGCCTAGAGGGCCCACTCTTGGTCACAGGGACCACCGTCCTCTCCTGTGGCTGCGTCTCGACTGGTGGCCCTGGGCTGGGAGGGACCATGGGCAGCCTCCTGGACAGGCTACGGCTGCCCCTTGCAGACGAGGAGGGCTGGGCCGTGGGGCCGCCCTGGGGTGACAGGCCGCCCGGAGAGGTCTCGGAGAGTGAGGCGGGCTCGCCCCCAGTCGGCCTGGACATGGACACATTTGACAGCGGCTTTGCGGGCTCTGACTGTGGCAGCCCTGTGGAGTGTGACTTTGCCAGCCCCAAGGATGAAGGGCCCCCCAGGAGCTACCTCCGCCAGTGGGTGATCATGGCCCCCCCACTGTCAGGACCTGGGCCTCAGGCCAGCTAATGAGGCTGACTGACCGTCCCGAGCTGGCTGGGCCACTGGGCCCTGAGCCAGAGACACGGTCCCCTGGGCTGCGATGTGAAGAGACCTGCAGCCTTTGGTCTCCCTGATGGGCATCTCAGCCTGATGTTTACAGCGTGTGTGCGCATGTGCACGTGTGTGCATGTGTGTGTATTCGAGTGTGCATGCACGTGTGCGTACGTGCGTGCACATATGCACGTGTGTGCATGTGTGTGCATGCACGTGTGTGTGGCTCAGGTGCACACTGGAGTGTCCATTTGTGTGCATTTCATGTGCTCACGGACACGAGCACGCCCATGGTATGCCATGTCTTTGCCTGCACACGTGTGTCTGAGCCCGTGGAGCTCATGAGTGTGAGCAGCAGGTGTGCCCCTGGTACACAGATGACAGACTCCCTCCCTTCCAGGGTTGCCCCTGGGGCCTCCTGGGATCACCAGGCCCAGCCCTCCAGGTCCTGCTCCAGGAGTCACAAGAAGTCCACATTGTTCCTTATTCCCTCCCAGCAGCAAGGGGAAGGGGACGGAGTGTGCCCACAGTGACCCTGGGGGTGGGCAGAATTGGGGGACTCATGGATGTAGGTCTGAATCCCAACTCTGACGCCTCCTGGCTGTGCTCCCTGGGGCAAGTCACTTCCCCTCTCTGAGCTAGAGTTTCCTTGTCTGGACAATGGGGATGGCAAGGCCTGCCGTGGGGGAAGTGGGCCAGGTCACCCACGTACAGTGTGCAGCCCGGAACGGACCCTCCGTAAACGTCAGCTTCCTTCCTTCTGCGGCCAGGACCACGGCTTGCGCAGGAGGCAGGCGGGGGTGAGAAAACCAGCCAACGGTGACAGCCTGGGCGCCTGCGGGGTTGTCCCACCCAGCAGAGGGGCACTAGGGGGGGGTTTCCAGGCTTTAAATCAATCAGTCTTGTCTCTTAGAAACAGTCCCCCACCAACCAAGACTTCTTTTCCTGGCTTCTGCTGCCCATTAAAAAAAAAACACTTCCCTCTAAGCACCCAAGAACTATTTATTGAGCGCAAAGTACTTGCCAGGCCCACGGCCCACGTGGCCCTCCCCTGGGGCACTCATGGCGGGCCAGAGGATGAACGACAGGGATGATAAGGTTGCTCCCGGCTCCACATGTCACCCCCTGCTCACTCCTGGCATCTGAATCGTTTGTCCTGGGGAGTTAGAGGGAGGCCAGGTTGCTTGTCGATGATTTCTCAGAAAACCTATTGAAATGTGAATCAAGAAACAAATAAAATACTTCTTAGCATGGTTTTGAAGGCCCCTCACTGAACATCAGTTTAGCACAGAAGCCAGATCTAGGTATTGTATAAAACTCATGATTTTTTTTTAAAGAAAAGAGATTGTTTTCCCTCCAAGGGTGCCCATCTCAGAGGTGGCCTGGCTTTTTCAAGACCAAGCAGGGTTGAGGCAGCAGAGAGTGTGATTCAGCTCAGGAGCCTTGAGGGGAAGCCCCCACCCAGGCCTGGGCCCACCTGGGCCCCACCGCTGCCCCAGGGCCCAGGCCGCAGGGCGCCGCCTGAAACAGCTCTGGCTGGTCTCTGCTTTGGGAGCGGGGCCCGTTAGAAGTCAGTCCTGCCGCAAGCTTCTCCGTGACTCATCTGTAAAATGGGGTGGTCTGGAGAGGTCGCTGAATGTTTGAGAGTCCTCGGTGGTGCCTGGCATGAGGCTGGCAAGTTCTAGAACACGGATGGTTTGCATACTGGGACAATGAATTTGGCGTCAGGGTGTGTGAGACTCAGACGGGAGCACGAGTAGGAAACCACAGCTCCTGCACGGGTGAGCAGACCTCACCATCCTCCCCCCACCCAGCACCCTAGAGGCTCTAGGGACAAGGTGTGCTGTGGTTTTCACACCCTCTTGGGGCTGATAGGTTCCAAGTGCTACCTGAGCCACGGGCTCTCCGGGGAACAGCTCAGCTCTCCTGCACACGGAGCTCAGCGGGGTGTGGGGGAGGGGACAACCGAGACTGGCGGCCCGGGGCAGAAAAGGCTCCTCAAAATGCCACCTTTGAAGGGGACTCAGCTAAAACATGGGTACAACAACAAGTTGGAGCTAAGACCCGACCCACCTAGAGGGTGGATTAGCAGGTAGGTGGGGGGATGGAGAGGGGATGGCTGCGTGGACGGATGGAAGGATGGTGAAAAGCTTAGAGGAAGAGCGGTTGGATGGACAGACAGAGATAAACTTGCTCGTGCAAAGACGCAGCGCGAACACGACTCTGCGAGGCTGGCAGCTGTGTCTGCCTTGTTCATTGTTTTAGTCCCAGCATGGTACACAGTAGGCACTCAATAAAGCCTGACTGGTAGCGTTTGCTTATTTCTATGGCGTAAATACTTCCACCGTGGCCACATTCAAGCTCTCAACTTGACTCCAAACACAGAGCTGGGAAGAGACATGCACGGGCGGCTCTCCTGCTAGTATGAGCCGGCCCCAGCGCACTGCCATTGGGAGCCCAGAGGGGACATCGCAGGGGGCTTCAGGGAGGCGGTGGTGTTTGTTGGACTTTGGGAAATGAATAGGAGGTGTTGGGGGCACCAGCTATTCCAGGCAAAAGGAAGAGCTTGAGCAAAGGCCTGGAGGTGTGACCAAGGACCAAGGAGCAAGTGGGCAAGGCGGCTCCTTGTCCCCCAGAGTCCAGGCCAGAATTGCCAACGACCTTCTCTTAAGAGGAGGGAGGACTGATAGCAACACCCCCACCATGGAGACCACAGCTGCTCCTTGCCACCTGCAGGCTCTGAGGGGACAGGGTTCCATCTGACAGATGAAGTGAGTGCACAGAATGGCTGGTGACCTGCCTGAGGCCACACAGGATTAGGGCTCAGAGTCCGAACCTAAACTCTGGTCACCTTGCTCTGCTGGAAGGGACCTAGATCAAACGGTAAGAAACTTAGCAAACACCTGCGGGTGCCCTGCTGCTTTCGCCTGTACAGTTAGCCTTGTGGGAGGGGCTGACCCCAGCTCTGAAAGTGGCGACATGACCCCAGCCTGGCCAACAGAGCGTTCCCTCCCCCCTGGCAACAGTACAGTTCAGGGACAGACACGTGACCCCAACTGCCGATGTTCTCTTTCTGCTGGGCTCACTGAGCTGTAAGGAGGGCACCAGGAGGGGACAGCTTGCCAGAGATGAAGCCAACACACAAGAAAGCAGAGCTGAGAGATGCAGACATATTCCCGGTGATATCTCTTGGGCTCCTGGATCCAGCCATGCCTGAAAGCACATTCCTCCTCCTGGACTTTTTAGGCACATGCATAAGGAAGTCATTATGCTATCTGCTAAATAGTTCCAGCTTTTGCCCTTCTGGGCACATGGCAGGACTGTTCCTCCTGGCCCTTCGTGATCAGACAAGGCCACGTGATGGACCGGCCAGTGAGTTGTGAGCAGGAGTAGCGAGGCTCACGTCTGGACATAGCATTTTGCTGACGGTCGTAATGCCCCCTAGAGTGTTTTCCCATCGGCCACGGTGACCAGTGGTGGTTGGGAAGGTGACGGCTCCCTCAGCCTGGGCTCTAGTGAGGAGACACAGGCCGGAGCTCCCAGTCCCACTGCGATGGACGTGTGCTGTGAGCAGGAAACCCACCCTTTGTTCCCGGCTGCTGCGATGAGGGCTGTTTGTCACCGCAGCACAACCCAGCCCATCCTGACGGAATCAACGAGCTGATACATTTCTGTTTCTGGCTTAGGCTGGTTTGAGGTGAGTTTCTGTCACTTGCAGCAGAAAGAGCTCCGGCACTGTGTCCGCCTCACCCCAGCGGTAAGGACACTCCTTCTGTCCGAGGAAGGGCCACACTCAAAGGGACCGGAGCACCAGGCTCCAGCATTTCCCGTGAATGACCTAGAGCAAGTCGCCTGTTGTCTCTGAGTCTCAGTTTCCTCTTCGGTAAGGTGGGGCAGGCATCAGCCTCTCGGCTTGCTCTGGGGATGAACAGAGAGGGTGGGGTCCGCCCCTCGTTAGATGTGGGTTTCCTTCGTTCTAGCGTCACCTGGAGCTGGGCTCGGGGCAGAGGAGAGGAGAGCTCTGGCCCCACCCCTTCCCCCGTCTCCCCGCAGAGAGTTCTTGAAGTTTTCCAGCCAGGTGCCACGAAGCTCGCATCGCCCTCTGCCAGGATCTAAGGCACCCAGAACCCGGCTGCCCCGCCAACAGTTACTGCGAGGTCGGCCTAGGATGCCGTCTGGCGTCCCAGATGCTCTGACAAGGGCAGGAGGCTGAGGCAAGTGGAGGCCCAGGGACAGGCGGTGATTCTCCCAGAGTCCATGCACACCCCACTCCCTTCCAGCAGGGAGCCCCTTCCTCCCTCCTACCCGGGAAGGCGGTTTACACGAGCCTGGTGGGGTGCAGCACAGCCCTCCCCAGCCCATCGGAGCCCCAGATGCATCTTCAGAAACCAGGCGGGGGCTGTCCGCTGGGAGATGGGGCAGTGGGCCTGCGGCCCCTCCTGGGAGCCTGTTCTATCAACAGAAAACGGAGAAGCAGCATGAACTCCCAACAAGGAAGAAAACGGGAGCGGGGCAGGTGCCGTCAAGAAACACCTGCACATTCGTGGAAAAGGAGAGCAGGGAGTCACGCCTGTGCTCAGGCGCCCCCTCCTCAGCGGGTCCCTGCGCTGGGCCCTTGTTTAAAACCCAACACCCTTGGCCGGGCGCGGTGGCTCACGCCTGTAATCCTAGCTCTCTGGGAGGCCGAGGCGGGCGGATTGTTTGAGCTCAGGAGTTCGAGACCAGCCTGAGCAAGAGCGAGACCCCGTCTCTACTAAAAATAGAAAGAAATTAATTGGACAACTAAAAAATACATAGAAAAAATTATCCGGGCATGGTGGCGCATGCCTGTAGTCCCAGCTACTCGGGAGGCTGAGGCAGGAGGATCGTTTGAGCCCAGGAGTTTGAGGTTGTTGTGAGCTAGGATGACGCCACGGCACTCTAGCCTAGGCGAGACTCTGTCTCAAAAAAAATAAATAAATAAATAAAACGCAACACCCCACCGACCTAGCTTTGTCTCTCCCCGCACTTCTTACACTGCGCCACGCGCCCTTCCCCTTCCGTCACATTCCCTGTCTGGCCCACGAGGGCAGGGGCTGATCGCGCTGCTGCGTCTCAGCGCCGACATGAGCAGGTGCTCAAAACTATAGAGTGA